AGTATTGTGAGGCAAGAAATATTAAATTTGAAAAAGATAAGTTCAATTTTAGTGGAAAAAACGAATGCTCGGGGAAAGTTAATTTTGTAGAACAGGAGACTAGCTCCATGTCTGAAGAGGCAAATTCCGTAGAAATTGTTATCCCACAAAATTTTAAAGAAGCTCGAAAATCAGTAAATGCTTAAGAATGGGTTAAGGCAATGAAAGAAGAAATTGACACAATGAAGAAAAGAAAGGTTTGGGAATTAGTCAAAAAGCCAGAAAATAAAACTATGATAGGAAACAAATGGGTCTATACGCTAAAAAGAAATGAAAAGAATCAAGTGGTTAGATACAAAGCACGTCTAGCACAGGGATTTAGGCAGAAAAGAGGTGAAGATTTTGATGATGTTTATAGTCTGTAGTAAATTTTTCAGTCATAAGAATATTTTTCACTATCCTGGTATATTTATATGGATGGACTAATTGTCAGTTAGATGTAAAGAACGCATATTTATATGCAAACCTAAATGAGAAAATATATATGACCCAACCAGAGGGATTTATAGAAGAGGAAAATAAAGTGTGTTTATTACACAAGGCCATTAACGGTCTACATCAAAGCGGCCGTGAATGGTTTTGTGAATTTGAAAGTACTTTAGAAAATCTACATTTTAAGAAAATACAATGGTGTAATTGTGTTTATAAGAGTTCAAATGTAATTCTCTTGTTATATGTAGATGATATTGTGATTTTTAGTAAAGATCAATGTAGTGTAGATAAAGTAATTTCACAGCCGAGTAAGTTTTTTTATCTTAAAGTATTAGGCAAAACTAAAACGTTACTTGGAATTGAATTCTTAGAGAATGAGAATGGGGTTTTCATACATCAGCAAAAATATATCGAAGAAATGTTTGAAAAATTTAAACATTTCCAGATACCAATAACTTCACTTCCCATAGCTAAAGGCACTATTCTTACAAAATTAGATTGTCCATCTACAAGTGCAGAAATTACGGAAATGCATACGTTACCCTTTAGAAATCTGTTAGGATGTTTAGTTTTTGTAGCTAACAGGACAAGGCCTGATATTACATATGCAGTGAATATCTTATCACAATTTCAGGAGAATCCTGGAATTAGGCATTGGGAATCATTGTTGAAATTGCTTAGTTATCTGAATAGTACTAAATTATATAAGTTAAACTTATCGAGATTAAACATCTAAATTTATATTGTTATTCAGATGCTGATTATGCAAGTAAAAGAGATGACCGCGTGTCCATGGGAGGATTTATATTATATTTAGATGAAGTACCGGTAATCTGGAAAACTGTTAAACAAAAATGTGTAAGTTTATCAACCATGGAAGCGGAGTATATCGCCTTATCTGAAGCAGCAAAGGAATTAATGTGGACGAAAAATGTCTTACAAGATGAAATTTTAAAGTTTAATTTAAGAGAGTGTAAACTATTTTGCGATAACAAGTCTGCCATTGATTTTTATAGATCGCCAATAGCAAATCGCCGAACTAAGCACATAGACGTAAAATATCACTTTGTTAGAAGACTAGTAAATGATGGAGTGTTTGACCTTGAATTTATCACCAGTAAATTAAATATTGCCGACTTATTTACAAAAGCAGTGACTGCTGTTAATTTAAGAAAGTTTTGTTTAGATGTTTTCAGTGTTTAAAGACAACAACTGTTTTCATAGAAATGAACTATGAACTTCTGTGTAAATTTTGTTTTTGTCTTTGCATGAGGAAAAGAGGGCCGTTTGTTGGCTTTAGTTTTCCACATGCAGATTTTGATCGGAGGTCAATCAGCGGTAAGCTAACGTGGTTGCCGCTGATTGGCCGATGACGTCAAGATCGGCGGGTTGGCCGAGTATTATATGTATGTACGCCGGTATCGGCGAATGTTCTTGTTCTCTTGTGTTATTATGAGTTAGTATAATGCTAGTTTGCTTTCAATCAAATGACTTTAAATGTAAAGGCTACAGTGTTAGCTCTTTTATTTTAATTTACGGAATAAAGCATGAATTTAATTTAGATTAGTCTTAGCTTTATTTAAGGGAAGCAAAATATGCTTTGCCTTGATCACCACTGCCAACAATACCGTCCGTTATACATTAAACGCGCAAGCGTAAACGTATTTTGCGCATGCGCACACGCCTTTTCGCAGCCATGAAGGTCTTATGCGCATGCATCAACGTGATGCATGCGCAGAAAGTTTGTAGCTTTGAGGTCCGAATTAACGACTTTTGACTGTATTGATATATTTGAAGTACAGTCAAAAGTCTTTAATCCGGACTCGTCGGGACATCGGCGATTCCGATTATTATCGGTTTTTCTGGATTATAGATCATCAGTTTAAATCTGGTATCAAAATTTAGTCCCCGCCCAAAAAACTTAATATTTATTTGTTTTACTTTATTAAACATTTCTTTCAACGTGCGCATGCGTAAAGCATACATTACGCATAGTCGAAATTAGAAAATTGCAACTAGAAAATTATTTGATATGTATTCGTGATATTTATAATGACGAGGAATTTGATTTAAATAATATCAAAAATGGAGTACATCGGGATGAAATACTACATTTAGTAAGGAATTATAAGCCGAATAAAGTAAAAACATCTGCCTTGAAGATAAGGATAGTGCTGACAGATCAACTTCCAGTTCATTGCACACCGCGTCGCCCCACCTCCCTCCCACAGAGCAGCGTGAAATTGATAAACATATTTCGGAATGGTTAGAGATTCAAAGGATATACCTTTATCCATTTTTTGCAGCAATTCCACTTTTTTTTTATGGACATCGAAACATGCTTTCGCTTTGTAGATCCTTTGGTAGCTCCAGAATCGGAAATTCTTTTTTGACATAATCGAAAGTTCAAGCTTACTTTTATTAAATTGCTCTAACAGTCTGCAAAAAATAATAAGCCGGATTCAATTAGAAGGTTAAGGAACAACACAATCTGTAACATTAACTGAAATAGATAATTAGATAATTTTAGCGTAGCTTATACCGTCCGTTATACATTAAACGCGCATGCATAAACGTATTATGCACATGTGTAAATGTATTATGCGCATGCATTAACGTATTATGCTTTGACGCATGCGCAGAAAGTTTGTAGCTTTGAGGTCCGGATTAAAGACTTTTGACTGTATATATCAAAAACTTGATTGATAATTTATTAGAAGTAGATTAAAGCATGCAAGGAAAATTATAAAATTGTATTAAAATAAACCTATTAAATTTTAATTAAACAAAAAGCAAAAGTTAAGACAATCCCATACTATTTTGGAAAAAAAAAATATTTAAAGTGAACTTGTACTAAAGTTATAAAATGCATTTTAGATTATTCACATTTTCTTCCTTTAGACTGACATATATATATATATCAGGTAAAAAAGAATATTCTTCGCGCTATTGCTTTAAAGCAAATGTGATAATGTGGTTCCCGTGAAAAATTTTTAACTCTAAGTGAAAGTAAATTGCAATTAAAAGTTCAAATACAAGAAAAATGAAATTATAACAAGAAAACTGACAAATAAAAAGTGAATGTAAAACTCAAATCAAATTTAAATGTTAAAAAATGTTGATTAAAGTTTAAACAATCCTAAAACATTTAAACATAAACACAAAAGTTATTTAAGACACAAGCAAAAATACAAAGAAATGGTAAATGCTAAATTAGTCTAATTCGAATCTCATTACAGACTCTTTAGAGAAAATGCGTAATGATCTTCGAATCCAGCCAATTCCATATCGCGTTTCGTCAAAATAGAAGAATTTAGACTGAATACGAAATAACATTGGAAATGAAGCAGAGGAATTGAGACTTAAGTTTTAATATATTAATTTGGCGGTTTAATGGTCAAAAGTTATTTCGTGTTCAGTCTCAGTTCTTCTGTTTTGATGAAACGTGAAATGGAATTAGTTGGATTTGAAGATCATTGTGCATTTTCCCTGAAGAGTCCGTAATGAGATTCGAATTAGGCTAATTTACCATTTACCGCTTCTTTGTATTTTTCCTTGTGTCTTAAATAACTTTTGTGTTTATATTTAAACAAATTTAAATTCTTAATATAAATTCTTAATATAAAAGTAAAAAAATTTAAATTCTAAAAAAAGGAAAAAATAATTTTAAAAAATGTGCAAACATGTAAAAGATTTAATTCTCGAACTACCGTAATTTCCGGAAGAAAGGCCGCATCAGCGTAAACGCCGCACTCGAGAAAAATGGCGGGAAAAAAATTAAAATTACACAGAAACGCCGCATCAGCGTAAACGCGCGTATAAAAGTAAAAAAATTTAAATTCTAAAAAAGGAAAAAAAAGGAAACATTTTTTTCCTTTTTTAGAATTTAAATTTTTTTACTTTTATACGTATTTGTTAAGAATTTAAATTTGTTTAAATTTAAATTTCATTCCTTGCAGCAATGGCGCAAAGAATATTTAATTAAATATGTATTTAAATTAAATTTTTTAATTAAATTCAATTTATTCTTATGAAACAATTTTGTGTTTATTATGTTTAATTGTTTTAAGATTGTTTAAACTTTAATCAACATTTTTTTTTAACATTTAAATTTGATTTGAGTTTTACATTCACTTTTTATTTGTCAGTTTTTGTTATAATTTAATTTTTCTTGTATTTTAACTTTTAATTGCAATTTATTTTCACTTAGTGTTAAAAATTTTTCATGGGAACCACAGTATCACCTTTGCTTTAAAGCAATAGCATGAAGAATTTTCTTTTTTACCTTGTTTTCTAATTTTGCAGCTGAATGCACAAAATTCTTGACCACACAGGTCTTTTTTAGTTTGTTATCCTTTCTTAAGTTATATATATAACTCATCACTTTTCTTTATATAATTTGTTCTAATTATCAGAAGATGTGAAAATGTAAATAAGTTGTGTATGAAATTAATTTAATTTTTGGAATGTTTGGAAACAAATATTTTTATTTCATGTACATTTTTTTAACCTTAATCTGTATGTTTCAGCAACTAAAACTCCAGAAAACAATAAGCGTAAAAAAGAGGTTAAAGAAGAGTCTCAGTGCCCCCCAAAAAGAACTTCTGTTGACAGTAAATCTCCATCATCAATAAAACAGCTTAAAACATATAGTAAGGTACAGAAATTAAGTTCAGTACTTTCTTCTGGTTCCTGTGCCTCTCCTAAAAAGAAATATAAAAATGAAAATAAAACCAAAATGTCTGAGAGAACAAATGCAAGTCAGAAAAAGAAAAGTACATCTTTTTTCAATAAAAAGCTTTCAAGAAATAAAAGGGACATAAAATTCGGTTGTGAAATTTTATCTGAAGATATTAAAATACAAAGTCCTGCTTTGGAAAGTTCGATTTCATCTTCTAAACTTTTATCAAGTGAACAGGGATGTTTAAGTGCTACTCAGGCCCAAACTATAAATATCAGTCCTAAAACAAGTAAAGATAAAAGAGATAGTCAAATAAAATTGCAAAGCCAAGACAGTTTTGGTAAAGATTTTCCAAACAGAAGAACCTCTCTTCGTATAAAAAAGCTGCGGAATATATCTGCAGAATCTCAGAATTTAGACAATGACACAACCTTTATGAAAGATGTTCCTCAAAAAGAGAAAACTACAGAAAATATTAACTGTAATGATAATAATTCAGACACAGATCAGCATATGACTAATGTGATGGTCAGCAAAACTATGAAAGATGCTTGTGCAAATAAGGCTGTTATTTCTGAGGTAGGTAATGAGGTACTTACGGCTATGAACAAAGTAATGCAGCTTAAATTATCAAACTGTGTAGATAAGATTTTACCAGATGCATCTAAAGCAGTTATAAGTACTGAAATTCAGAGTGACATTTTAAATGATGGCTCCAATTCTTCTGATTTACCTGATTTTTCTGAGAGTTATAACATCAAGTCTAGCAAGCGAAAATATGAAAATGAATCACATAGTTCAAAAGAATATATTTCAGCTGTGAACAGCTTTTGCCCAGAGCAGGATAATAAAAATCATGGTACTGAAACTGGAGAATTGAACCTGAAAATAACTGGTATTTTTTCTGATAACTGTGATAGTAAAAATGCACAAATAGATGAAGAAAGCATTAGGTGTTCAAATAAGGAGAGTGAGTTGGCCCAAGCAATAGCTTTCATTACTTCTGAAGATTTTCTTGCTGATAAATCTAAATTCATTCGTAAATCAGGTAAAGATCTAATAGTTGATAGCAGTATTAAAATTGTAGTTCAAGAGTCTTCATCAGAATTGTCTTTGCAGAAACCTGCTGCTGATATTTTGCCGGATTTAAGGATAAATGTCAAAGCTGAAAAAATGGTAATTTTATAATATTTTTATGATTTCAGTAGTATGATTATATGTATGGGGTTTTCAAGCGCAGATACAAATGCTAATAGGAATGTGGGGCTAGGAAAATTATGTGAGCTATCAAAATTGCTCTAGAAATTATTTCCCTTAATTTAAGATATTTGGGGTTTTTGCTTTTACTTTATTTAATTGAAATTCATTGTAATTCTTTAATGTAAAAACTATTTTTTTTAATTGTGTGAATATAATTATGAATTATATATATATATATATATTTACTGCTGTTTGTAAGAAACATATGCTCTATTTAGTTTAATGAAATGAATGATTTTGATATTTGTCTACTGCTTGTTATTTGTTGTCTAATGTTGTTTTGTTGTTCATAATTGCTACACTTTTTGATAAAATAGTGAATAAATTTGTAGAGCTGTTCCCTTTGAAGAAATGTATCATATGATACTCTACTTTAAAGTGTTATTTTGAAGACAAATTGAATTAGTTTTCTTCACTAGCTTTAACTTGTTTTAGCAAACCATGCAGTTTCATTATTATGGAAAGTGTACTTCTTTAAGTATCAGAATATTTAAATGTGTCTTATACAGTTTTGTTTTTAATGCAGTAAGTACATCATGGCAGAGTAAGGGACCTTGGATCTTTTGACCACTGCATGTTACTTACATTGCATTGGTAGTTTGATCTTCTTAGTCATGTTAGCACCTGTGAGAACACTGAACATGGCAACCAAACTAGTATTTATAAGCTTTTAGGAAGAGGAGGAGTCACAAGCTGAAAAAATGTGACTAATTTTGAATAATATCTGCTATGAATGTAAGTGTTTGAATGGTGTAAATCTTTTCAAGACGAAAGCATGTTTTGCTAGTTTGAATACTACCTTTCTTCCATGGACTGAGGTATTTTCTGCATGCTCATTGTTCTCGCAGATTCTGCAGTGACTGAGAAGATCAAGCTTTCTTTTCAATTTAGATACCATGTGATTGTCTGAATACCCAAGGTGATATTATGAAGTGCTGTCGGTAAAATCCAAGAGGCCCAGATCATATTTGAATGTCCTAGCTTTTTATGATGTAATGACTAGTGTAATGCCTTTTATGTTTAGCTAACTATAGAATTTATACAGGAATTCAGTCGAAGAATGCAGAATATGGAAGTAGATTCTTCATTGGCCAATGAGAAAGCATGCTAACAGCTTGTAGAGTTTTTGGTTTTTTCTATACATAATATGAATACAAGTCAGGTTTCCTTAGAAAGTTGTTCAAGAAGGCATCTTTTATAAGGGAGATAGCATATGAGTGTTTTTCCATAACCATTTAATCAAATCTGCAGATTGTATCAAGAATAAATATCATATAGTACCTTTGTGAGGTACTACTGCTTCTGCTAGTTGGCTGTTGTTCTACAACAGATAATAAAAATTTTGGGTACTAAACTGCTTCTACAAGCTGGATGTTACTCTAGAGATACAAATTATAAAGCTGCTTTTCTTTGTCTAATGGCATTTAAAAAGCATGTCAGATTTTCACTAGTGTACTTCTCAGTTACTGTAGAAAGTGACGAATCTTAAGAACTAGTTAGCGAATAATCGCTTAAGTTCGTGTGACAAGAAACAACAAGATGGAAGGGTAAGTAACCCTTTATTATTCCAATAAGATTTAACAAAACTCCGTCTTTGAGTGTACAATAAAAGCCGACACTTGGGCTTGAACTTAAGAGCCTAAGAATTAAACTAAAACTAACATTAACTAAAGAAATATAGCCGAAGCTATCAAGTTTCTAGTGCAGTTGGCCCCTTAAATACCAGATGACTGCGAAGCTATCAAGAGCCTGAGTACGGCCGAGCATAATAACAGCTTTGAGAGACAGAATGGCTAAAAGGGAGACGCGCGTAAATCAGAAACTCTGGTTCTCTCTCACCAAGACCAAAGGACTTCACGGTTAAATACCGCTCTTCCTCATTATGTATTCAGACGTGATTCTAAAACTATGTTCTGGCCGGAAGTAGTAAGTTGAAGTTAAGAATTTGACAGGAAAGGAACTTTAACTTAAAATTTAACTGTTAATAAAATTAACATAATCCTTGCAAGCAGAATGCCTAAATTTCTGAGTGCCAGTTATATGTGCATGCTAAGTATCCAAGAACTGTTAACAGTCATAATGCCGCTTAGTAATAAAAAATAGATTAACAAAACACTACATATACATGAGCAGTGAGATAACTAGAGATATACAAATGGTTTAAAAAGCATTATAATTTATAGTATTCTTGTATCTTCACATCCCACTATAGTGAAATTTCAACTATCTACAGTTTTAGCATCATCATAGTAACAGATAAGAAAAAAGATGGATAGTTGAGACACTTCCCGTCATTGCACCAGGTATATGAATAATATAATTGATTGTAAAATATATTTTACAATATAGATAAAAATGAATATTGGAATTGAAATTGTTCTCATGATAACTCTTTAGTTTACTTACTGTTACATGCAGTAAAAATATATATTTTAGATAAATCTGAAACAATCTTTATCTGTAGCACAATAAATGTCAACTTTAACATGACTCAGTTGCACTACTATAATTCAGTTTAATTTCCTCTTGTCAGGTATGGAGAGAATTTCTGTTCATGTACATGATGCATAAAGCTCAAAACTGTGAAATAAATTAACACATAGCTTGTAAATTAGCAAACTTCGGTGGCAGTTTTTAATTAAAAATATGGTTGTATAATGTCATTTGATAAATACAGTGCTATACTTTTTGAAAGAGTATTTTAGCTTTTCTAAATACAGTAACAGTCTTATTGAATCTAAAATTACAAATTATAGTCATTTTGAACATAAACTAAAGTGCACAGAGCATTTTGAGGACGTAATAGTATGAAAATTTCATAATGAGAAAAATATATTAAAAAAATATTTTTACTGTTTCCTTTAGTACTTACTTCTCAGTATGTTCTAATGCACGATTTGATTTAATGCAAAATCTCTACATATAATAAAAGAAAGAGTATTTTTGTGTCTTTCGTTTGTGCTGCGTGTAAGCTAATAGACCCACGGCTATGAAATTTGGAACATAGGTGCATCTAGACAAGAGCCAGTGCACCTTGAAGCGATTTTTTCGAAATTCGAATTTTTTTAATTTTATGTTTTCTGACGAAATCACGTCATTTCGAGACATAATGGGCTACAGGAAAGCGAGATTTTACTCTACACACTCCATTTTCACATCGTCATGAAGCGTAGGTACTTAGCTATTTTACGAACTTAAAATAAATTTCGTGTTTCAATAAATCGATTAAATACAAATTTATTTAACAAAGGGAGCTTAACACCTTTTCAACAGGAATTTTTCTAAAAAAGTTTATTTTTAAAAATGTACAGTTTATTTTTCTTTGCTTTTTGGACATGTTAAACTTTCATCCTTGCGACTGCTTTTACAAAATGAATTTTGGAAAAATGATAATGTTTTGTATTTTTAAAAATTTTTTTTAAATGAACCTTCTGGGTACACTTCTCACATCGCACATCTTTAAAAATGTGATGTTGGCAACAATTTTCTTTTCTTATTGTTGTTGATAGATTTTTGATGAAATCGCATCATTTTGAATAGTTTCATTCTTTTAGAAATATGGGTTTGGCAACAATTTTTCATCATATTTCTTATGTCACTGTTTTTAAGAGATTGGCATATTTCATTGTCATTTATATATATAATACATTTTTATTGATCTTTTGTGATAAAATTGTGCTGCAGAGTAAAATTCTGCACGGGATTTTATGTTTTTTGAGTTGCTTTCATGTTATTTTTTGCTTATTTCGTTGTTTGTAAGATATTGAAAGGTTTTGCATGATTTTTTTTTCTTCAACAGAAAGTTAGTTGATTTTTTATTAGGATAATTAATATTTGTATTAAGGGATATAGCTTATTTCATTGTAATTTTTTTCTCTTGAAAATATAAGATAAAATATCATTAATTATACTTTGCTTTTCAGAATTTTTTGTTTTTTGTATTAGTTTATGTTATTTATTGCTTATTTCACTGTTTTTAAGATATTAAAAAGTTTTGAGTGATTTTTCCAGGAAACAAAGTTTTTAACCTCTTTTATACCATTTGAGTTCGTAAGATTTTGCAAAGGGAAGTTGGTTAATTTATTTATTAGGGTAATTAATATTTGTATTAAGGGATATTACTTATTTCATTGTAATTTTGTTATATGTAATAACTTTTTTTATGAAGTTGTTCTGCAGAGTAAAATTCTACACAGTTTTTAAATTTTAACGTTTGGTGTTCCCTTGAGCCATTTTTCCGGTACATTTAAAAGCCAGATGAAGGCTGGCAGTGAAGCTGCTAGTATTTAATATTTTTTTCTACTAATAAAATTGTACAGTGGTAAGAATTCATAATTTTTTACAAATTTTCTCAAACACTTCAGTAAATTCAACTAAATATTTTTTTTTAAAACTATGAATCACTTTAAAAACTTCCTGTACACTTCCCCATCCTTATGTTCCCCATCCCCATCCTTACATTTTCCTTATGTTTAGCTACTTTACACATTTTTTTGGGGGTAATTCTTTTATCCAGTCGAACACCTTTTTTCCCTTTGGTCTGTCTATGCGACTTTAATCTCTCTTCTGTAATATATATTGAACATGAATTTATATCTTTCTGTTCCTTACGTAAAGTATTTAAACATCCAAAATTAAAGAATTAAGTCACTAATTGTTGTAATGAAAGCCATTTTGAGTCTCTTTTTCTATACAGATGTTTTTTTTGGGGGGGGGAATTCTTCCAAATGACATATGTAGCCTCTCACTAGTGTTCTACATTTTTCCAGATATGCATTTTGTTAAAAGTTCAGTACTGGCTAATTTTTCATCCACTGGCAGTATTTTGGATAAATTATCTACTGTTAATTTGTTTTTCATCATTGAACGAGATTTAGGTTTCTTATTTTTGTCAATGCTATATTAAAAAAAAGAAA